CAATGGAAACGTCAGCTCTACACATATCATTGTGGGAAAATTCTACTACCAGTCCTTCATCACCTTAAACAAAATTGGGCGAATCAATCTCATATTACTGATTTACTGGTAGTCTCAAAACTCTACTTAAATAGTAAATTGTTAGTCGAAGATATAAAGACCAAGATGGTATGACCTTTTTGTGGTTGCAGTCTCCTTTCGTCGTATGTAAGTTGTTTGACCTTGTTTTCGCAACTTGGTCATATTGGTAGGAAGACTTATATGAACGCACCTAGTTCGGAGTCCATTGTATGCATGATCATTTCCAAAGTCGGACCGTGCATGTCGTACATTCCAAGACGTTTCACCGGCATTGTCAGGGAGTCTTGCCACTCTTAGCACCATGCTACAACTCCTCAAAGAGACAAGCGAAGCCGATTATTTGACAAAATGGGTGCTAAACATTTGTGGTATCTCTTCTTAGCGATTGACTTATCCTATATCTTTGTATCACGCCTTCACTATTACAATTTTTGCTTGTTTATTTAAATCTAGTATAGTGTGCCCTTTTGAGCGACTTTCATGAGGACCCTACACATTCAACGCTGGAGTTTTCACCTCCTTTATTATTGTCCTGGGAATGTTGATCAGAGTCTGTCATATTGTTACTCAGTCCTCCTTCCCTAGGTCTTATCAGAGTCTCGCTCTTGCCCCGTAAAATCAGTCTGATATCTCCCTGGTTCAAGTATTTCACTCGACCCCTGCCACCCCATCTATGCTTCTCGAGGCGTTATTACCCCCCTCCCCTGCGTCTGAGTGACTAATTCGAGGCTAAAGCCTCATAGTCAAGCCTTTGCTACACGAACCTCGTCTATGGTAAAACAGGCCAACTAGCCAACTAGCTCCAGTCTCCACTGCGTCTATCCTGTTTATATCCGTAATACCAAGCCTATAACTTGCTATGCCCTAGTCTCTTGTGTGCCAGCCCACGAACGTTGTGGTTCAACAATAAACCTAATCAATGCAAGCAATACTTAAAGCGTTATTTCCCACACCGCGTCAGGCCTTTGATGGAACTTATGCTCCCGCCTCACTGAGTAGGCCTCTAAAATCAGGATTCTAAAGCTGGATGGGAGACTAAACTGAGACTAAAGATTCAGAGTAATTCTCATGATCAAGCCTTTGCTTCATGGGCCATTTATATGCTCAATCACGTCTACTGTTATTTTTTAAATACATAAGTAGTCTCGTGACTACTAGTAATTCAGTTATATGATATCTATTCACCCTATTTCGTTTAAAGTAATGAAGGATTGGTAGTATAATTTTCCCATAATGATATGAGTAGAGCTGACGTTTCCATTGAATTTCACATAGCCTTGCTTTCCCAAAAGTTGTTCTGATCCAGGGTGGACTACGGTTTCGACCTCGTATTTGTCTTAACAACACTCCAGAGGGAGTGTTTTGACAGAAAATTGTTCAAGGAACTAACTTAATTTGTCTCTGACGAGTTGTAGCTTGATGATGAGGATGAAAATTCTCACTGAAAATACCGGCGTAACGTTCGGGCATATAACAAGTCTAGGGCCTCGACGTTGTAAGTTATGATAACTACTATAGAAGAGGATTTGGACAAGGTCTGTCCAACTAAATCGCCCTGACAACACGACCAAGTTGCGAAAATGAGGTCAGATCACTTCTATACAGCGAAAAGAAACCGCGACCAAAACAGAGACTGCAACATCTTGGCCTTTATATCTACGTTCAAATATAGTTGTTTTTCTAACGGTATCAGCCTGAGGCAGTGAGAAGGAGGGCAGAAAGGGCGGGAGAGCGATCGACTAAATAAAGAATTGACGAATATATTACTTAAGTTTATTTTCCTATCCATAATCTCAAATCTTAGAGATATTTTATACAAACGTTTCATACATTCCAACCGATACGATATCCGCTATCGAAGCAAGCAACAGGACTATTCTAATTATGAGGTAGATATGAAGACTAAGATGGCGTAGACCTCTGTTTGGTTGCGGTCTCCTTTAGCTTTATAATGTTTGTTATACCTCGTTTTCTGATTATTTTCTTTCCTTTGCAAGATTTTCTGGTTCTATGGTCTTTTGACATTTCATAACTTGGAAATATGTCGTTATTGTTAAAGCACAGGCCCTTTCTTGCATCACTTAACTGTAGCCCTAAATCGGTAAACTCAATTGGTGTAAATGAAATTAGCCAAGTGATCTGTTGCGAGTAAATTTCCAATATACTCCCTTTTAGCTTTTTATCCACTTTTCTCCTTCCTCTTTTTTTTCTGCACGTGTCTCATCTTTATCTTATTTTTCCTCTCCTTTACTCCCATCCTCTTTATAATATATTTTAAGATTAAGATAGCTTGTATTCATCTTTATCTGCTGAATGGCATTTTTGTTTTGTTTCAGCTTTTATATTTTTCTACATCTCCCATCTTTCTTATATTGCTGTAATGCTTTCTCTTCTCTTTTAGTTCCTTTAAAGGCTACAGCCTCGAGTCGCGATTGCACTTTCGCATGCATGCTGCACATGCCCTCTTATATCCAGAAAACCAAGAACCCAGCGTTCGGACACACTTTATCTCTGGCTCTTGCACTCCTGCGCAGATGGCCTCTCCTTCAGTTTCGCCTTCCTCTTCCTCTACCCATAATTCTATACTTCACATAGAAGGTGGTGGCCAATCTATATCTAGTTCCCCTACAACTTCTTTTTTATATCAAACTCAGTCTTATGATTTTAATAACTCCTCAGCAAAACCTACCTCTCAGTCTTATTCACATTCTTTTCCGTCATTCCTTCGTCTCTCTTGGCTTGGAGGTAAATCCCCTACCTCGGAGCAACATTTACTACCAACTTTGCAGATTGATTCTCAGATTTCACCGCATTCGCCATCGTCATCTATGGCGTCCCAAATGCTACAATCACCAGTTCAACCTGAGAAGACGGGCACAACCTCAACGTCTTCTTCAAATCAAATTGTTCGACAACACAAGCCACCCACTAGCCTAGAAACCAACCCAGCCAGTAATTCCAGAAGAGGATATAGTCGCCTTGGCCGCGCTTCGATTGGGGGAGGAGGTTTATTTGACGCAGATGAAGAGGATGATGACGATGAGGAATTAAAAAACCAAGGATAATGAGTTTCACACTGTTCTGGGACAACCTCCAATACATAATTCGAATTGATCGTCACATTGTATAATTCATTAATTTTTATTTTTCATACATTATCCCAGCTGTTAAATGCACAAAAATGACATTAATTAAATTTCCTAATCAAAATATTTCTTCATATGACAATACTTTCTTCCTGTTGTAAGTTCTCTAAATAACCAATATTCTCCAGTAGATTCATGCATCTATATGTCTCGCAACACATTAATTTTCTTTCATCCTATATTCATGATCTCATATGTCTTTCTAGATGTAACATCAATTTATCCTTCAAGTTTTGTCGTTAACCGTTACTTTTCATACTTCTCACATGTACATGATTGTATTTAATTTGATATTTATTTCTTCTTGACTAGTGTGATAGGCTGGTCATTACTCGGACCCAAAATGCTGTGCTTCGTCTATTTTTATATTTTTTTCTCTACATTACTTCTTTCTTTACTTTTATGTTTAGCCTGTAATTCAGATTTTCACTATTAATTGCATGGCCCTCTTATTCGCTTTTATCTCCAAATTATATATTGAAGCTTGCTGAGTCTACCTCATTAAGAATCCTACGAATTGTCTCGTTTTTTAACCGGCTTTCCTTCAAAATTGGATTTTGTTCAGAAATTCTTTGTATTCTTTACACTTTTTGACGATGTTATGATTTTTCTCCACTATCTATTTCTAATTGGAGAAGCGAGTGCTTTCTCACCATATCCTTGTTTAAATATATTAGGTGGAGGGCAAATCTTCTGAATATTCATTTTCGGCAGAGTAAATATCCCCCCCTCAGTTTGTTCGTCTTTTGATTCCACTAACTTTTCACTTTCATTTTTTTTTCTAACTATCCCGTTATAGTTATTCTGCTGTTTGAATTGTTCATAAACTAGGTTTATTGCAATATTAGCGGAAGTATATTCCATAAAAACTGAATTTTTAAACATATTAATTCTTCTTATAAGGACTTATTCTTCAAATAAATACCGCTCAGAGTAACAGTGCGTCGAAACAAACGGGAAAGCTACTTTCTAGACATATCAAGATAGAATGAGATAGAGGTATGCACAAACTAAAGCGTCGTCTTTCGTATCTATCTAAATCCCTCCGGAAAACATGTTTGAGTTTTGCATTAGCATATATGTGTGTATATATCGTGAATAAAATTTTCAACTTAGGTCATTAGTTACTGTTGTTGGATTTTATGCATGTATTAAAGAACTTGACATTAGAATAAATTGAATTAGGTGGTATCTGTGTTAAGTTTGCAGGGAACTATTCATTCCTTATGGTTTGCAAATTCTGTCCCATTCCTACAATCTCGTGTTTGCGAATAAGGACTTTTTTACTAAACTAAAATATTTCAAAGGCATTTTAGCTTACTTATCTCGGATGTTTTACTCCAGCTTGAAGAGATTTTTAAAGTGAAATTTTTACTGTCACTATTTTGATAGGCATTAATAGGTTAATCGAAGGTATGAAGACCAAGATGGTGTGGCCTTTTGTATATGACTTGCTATGCCTTAGTCTCTTGTGTGCCAAACCACAAACGTGGTTCAACATTGAACCTAATTAAAGCAAACAGCACTACAACATTGTGGGTTAGCACACGAGACTAAAGCATAGCAAGTCATAGACTAGGTACTAGGGATAGAGACGGGATAGACGCGGCGAAGATTGGAGCTAGTTGGGTGACACTAGGCTTGTTTTATCAATAGACATGGTCCATGTAGCAAAGGTTTGACGATGAGACTTACTCTGAGGCTTAGGCCTCGAAATAGTTACCTAGGCGCAGGATAGGGCGAATAACGCCCCGGGTAGTACAGATGGGGTGGCAGGGGTCGAGTGAAATATATGAACCGGAGATAAAGCAGACAGATCTTACGGGGCAAGTGAGAGACAGTGATAAGACCTAGGGAAGGACTTCGTAACAATATGGCAGACTGATAAACATTCCCAGCACAATGGTGAAGGGGGCGAGAACGTCAGTGTGGAGTGTGAATTCCGCTCCAAGGAGCACACCAAACTCCATCTTAATAAGCATGGTAAAATTGTAACAGTCAAGGCGTGATAGGAGGATATAGGAAATGTGAATAACCCAGGGTAGAAGGAGAGATACCAAAACTGTTTAGTGAACGTTTGGTCAAAGGATCGGCTACACTTGTCTCTGACAAGTTATTGTGTGGTGCTAAGAATGGCGACACTCACTGACGATGCCGAATACGATGCCGGCGAAACGTCTGGGAATGTTCTACGCCCACAGTCCAACTCTGGAAATTCTCATGCATACAATGGACTCCGGAGTAGGTGCGTTCCTCTAAGGCTTCCTACCAATATGACTAAGTTGAGAAAACAAAGTCAAACAACCTATATTAATAGGTTTAGTTGAAACCCCCTATGAATCAGTCAAGCTGAATTTCATTTATTGCGAATAATTATCCTGTTCAACTCTATTTCCATCATCCTGCTGTCGGCCTAGATCGTCATAGTCACTGTCAGGCAACTTTAATAAAGAAAATCCGGCTGAAAAACCATATACGCTAAGGAAATCACTTGAAACTTAAAATACCAGGTAGAATTTAAAAAATATTTTTGTTTCAACCTATGTTTATAAATTGTCTTGTCAACGAGGCTAGTCTGATTTATTTCTAATTTTATTTTTTAACCTTATTACACTGAATACGAAAGCTACCATCACTCATATTTCTGACTAAGAATTGATACTATGTTATGCCGTATTTTTACTTCATTACG